AATTCACTATTTTTAAACATTTCAAAAACAAAAGAAATGGTCATAGATTTTAGAAAAAAGCCCCTTCCATTGCAACCGGTTACTATTAATGAGATAGTTATTGAGACTGTGAATGAGTATAAGTACTTGGGTACCATTATTGATCATAAACTCACTTGGTCGGCGAACACATTAGCAAGATACTCAAAAGCACAGCAACGGCTCTTTTTTTTAAGAAAATTGCGCAGTTTTAATGCAGAGAATAGTACCCTGACACTGTTCTATTTGACTTTTATTCAGAGTGTGGTGACTTTTGCAATCCAGTGTTGGGGGGGAGGTCTTTCTATCCAGAACAGGAACATGCTGGATAAGGTGACAAAAACGGGTAGGAAAATCATTAGATCCGATGTGAAAAGCGTCACAAATCTTACTGACCAGTATACCCTCAAGTTGGCGCTGAGGATTCTGGAGGATCCATTGCACCCACTTCACACAGAATTTTCCCTCCTCCCCTCTGGATGTAGATTTAGAATGCCCCGAACTAAAACTAAACGACACATCACTTCATTTGTGCCTAGGAGCATTCAACTACTTAACGAATCAGTTATGGGCACATAGATTTATTTTGAATGTGCATTATTGAATATATATCTATTTATTGATTCTCTTAAGCTGTGGAATATTTTAGAGGTTGTTTTTTTTTTTTTTTTTTGAAGGGTATTACTGAAAATATATATTTATTTACTGATTTCTTAAGTGGTCAAATTGATATATCCCATGTCACTTTTGCCTTTATTCTTCTTTTATTTATGTTTATTCTATGTTTTTTGTGGTTATGTTTATTATGGTTCCCATGAGTGTAAAACAAATTCCCCTTTGGGGCAATAAAGGTTTCATTCATTCATTCATTGCCGCCACCGCAGGTGGCAACGAACTCAAACCTGCCTCATCCCGTCCAGGAGCCAGAGGCTCCAGAGCACAGGACGAGGGTGCACAGGATGCCCCGTCTCTGAGAGTGTCCTCAGAGGAAAGGCCAAGGAGGTGCTGTCGCGAGGAGCATGAGTTCGGAGAACCACGTCTTGGTGGGCCAATAAGGGGCTACCAGCAAGACCTGCTCCTCGTCCTCCTTGATCTTGCACAACACCCATGCAAGAAGGCTCACTGGGGGAAACGCATGCCTGCGTGGGCACCGCGGCCAGCTCAGCGCCAGTGCGTCTGTGCCGTGCGTGCCCTCGAACAGGGAATAAAACTGGGCGCAGTGGGATGAGTCCAGAGAGGCGAACAGGTCTATCTGTGCCTCCCCGAACTGGTCCCAAATCAGCTGGACCGTCTGGGGATGGAGTCACCATTCGCCGGAGATAGGGCGGACCCGTGACAGCTCGTCGGCTGCCAGGTTCCGGTCTCCTGGAATGTACACTGCACGAAGGGACCTCAGGTGCTTCTGACTCCATAACAGGAGGTGGCGAGCGAGCTGCGACAACCGACGTGACCGTAGACCACCCTGGTGGTTTGTATATGCTACCGTAGCGGTATTGTCCAAACGGACAAGTACATGTTGACCCCTGAGCAGTGCTCGAAAGCGGTGCAGGGCCAGGCGTACTGCCAACAGCTCGAGGCAATTGATGTGCATGAGGCGCTGGGGTCCTGTCCAGGAAGCCGCGGCTGCATGGCCATTGCACATGGCACCCCAACCCGTGGTAGAGGCATCTGTGGAGACAACGACATGCCTGGAAACTCGCAGCAGAGGGACTCCGGCCCGTAAAAAGCTGAGGTTCGACCACGGGAAGAAGGTCTGGCGGCACGCTGGAGTCACTGGAACTTGGGGCGAGCCGCGATGCCATGCCCACCTCGGGACTCGATCGCGAAGCCACAGCTGAAGCGGTCTCATATGAATTAATCCGAACGGCGTTGCCGCGGCTGCGGATGACATATGCCCCAGGAGCCTCTGAAAAAGTTTCAGTGGGACCGCACTCTTGCCCTCGAACTGTCGAAGACAAGTCAGCAGTGAGTGTGCGCGCTCGTTCGTGAGCTGCGCGGACATGGCGACCGAGTCTATCTCCATGCCGAGAAAAGAGATCCTCTGCACGGGGCAAGTTTGCTCTTCCGGTTGACCCGAAGGCCCAGACGGGCTAGGTGCCGGAGCACCAGGTCTCTGTGTTCGCAAACCTGCTCTCGAGAGTGTGCCAGTATCAGCCAATCATCAAGATAGTTCAGGTTGCGAACCCCGTGTTCGCGAAGGGGAACGAGGGCTGTCTCGACGATCTGCGTGAAGACGCGAGGTGACAGAGCTAACCCGAATGGGAGAACCGTGTACTGATATGCCTGGCCTTCGAAAGCAAACCGAAGAACGGTCTGTGTCGAGGCAAAATGGAGACATGAAAGTACGCGTCCTTCAGGTCGATCGCTGCAAACCAATCCTGAGGCCGGACGCATTCGAAAATGCATTTGGCTGTGAGCATTTTGAACGGTAGTCGATGGAGAGTACGGTTCAAAATGCGCAGATCCAGGATTGGTCGTAACCCACCGGTCTTCTTGGGGACAATGAAGTAGGGGCTGTAAAACCCGGACCTCACCTCGGCTGGAGGGACTGTCTCGATTGCACCCTTTGCCAGCAGGGTCGCAATCTTTGCTCTCATGACCGGGGCATTGCCACCGACCATAGTGGAGCGAACTCCCCTGAAACGGGGAGGAGACCGTGCGAACTGAATCGCATAGCCGAATCTGATCGTTCTGATGACCCAGCGGGACAGGCCGGGGAGCTCTAGCCAAGCTCCCAGGAACTGAACCAGCGGGGTCATGCGAACTACAGACGTCCCCCCGGACGGGCAGCGGGACGGGGAGACCGGCATGCGCCCAGGAGTTACCCTGTGCGGATGAACAGTCGAGCCCCGTTTCCCGACAGAAGAGACCAGGGAAGGACCAGCGTTCCACGGGGGTCTGTTCTGCCGGGGGTCTGGCGATAGAGGGGGAGGGGAGTGGTGTGGTCCAGGGACGACACACCTTCCATCCGCACCCTCAGAGACAGAGGAGAATGAGAGTGGCGAGGCACGGGGCCGTTGCGCACTTTCACCTTGCTCTGTGTGCTCGGAGATGGAATGCAGCTCTTTGAGAAAAGATTCTCCCCCAGCCCTCCACCGGGGGAAGGAGTGGGCCTGACCACTCCCTGAAGAACTGCAAACCATACCCGAGCTGCCCGTAACGGGAGCGTCGCAGCGGGGCTGGTACGGGCAGGGGCGCCTCCCTACGACCACCTCACGGCACGGCCCGGTGCTGCTGGGGCCGGACGGGAGGGGGCGGAAAGTCGCAGGAGGGCGCATTTGGCGGCAAGCGGACTGACGCATCTGAGCCGGCGGCTAGTAGCAGCAGAAACCGCAGAGTCAGGTAAGCCACAGTCCGCTTCTGGGCGGCCGAGAACTGTTGGGAACTCGGTCGCGCCGCCGAAGAGGCCAGCCTACTCACCCTACTCAGGGAGCATGCGGTCACCTTCCTCGCTCATAGAGCGAGGTCGGCGACGGCATGCAGCTCAAGGATGAGCTCTGAATCAGCTCTACCCTCGTGCATGTCAGGTGGCAGCCTGCCCCGCAGCTCTTCACCACACCAGAGAATTCGCTCGTCTCGAAGAGGTGAGTCACCATAGTAAACTCAGATTGTGTGGCTTGTGGAGTGAAGAAGTTCTCTTGGCTCCGAAGCGAAAACACACTGCGGTTGCGTTCACTTCCTCCTTTTATACCCACGGGGTAGGGGCGGCGGTATGCTATGCAAATTCCGCAGCCCCAAGGCATTTCATGCCATTGGCTCGTTGTTAAATACTCAAAGAGGATTGGCTTTCTATGCGAAACTCCCATTCTCCGTCACTCCTGACGTAACTCGGAGTGACTACGAAAGGGAATCGGTTGTTTTGTCCTATTTATTAATTTAATCAAATTAATTTAAATTGCAATCAAAAAATGTCAAAAATTATAAAATGATACAACTGTCCTGATTTCATAATAAGAATTATTATGGCATAATTAAAATAAGGCATAATTAAAAATAATTGATTGTTGAGAGGGAAAAAAACTATTTATCAAGCATCTTCTATTATATATATTTTTTAGGAGAAAAAAATAACAAAAACAAAACCGCTTTTCTGCTTATTACTAATTCAAAAACTTTTGTCTGTCAAATAAAAGTCGTGTTGATCCAACCAACAAGCAGAAACATCCTAAAAAAACAACAAAAATCATAGGAAATGATTTCACATGTGATTTAAATCAAAACAAAGTTAGTTCAGGTTGTAAGATGCAATGCAGCAACAAAATGTAATGATAAAAATGTATGTATAAATAAATAAAATACATTATATCTTAGAATATATACCTATTTTCAAATGATGATTAAAATAGGCTCACTCTATAACACTCAAAACCAAGGAAGATGAAGATATAACTCAGGGGTTATTTAAATAGATCCAACTAAACAACCAACTTGTGAGACAGCGTGTAAACATAAACACGAACAATACCAGACAAATGAAGAGTGCACAAAAAGGAACGTAAATACATGGTGGTGGTGACAAAATAATGAACAGTTGTGTTGATTAGTCTTAGTGTCCATGGTAAGTGATGAGTGGAATAAAGGAACACATGCGACCAATGAAAACAAACAGTCCATGATAACTAAACAAACTGAACATAATGGTGACACACTCACATGCATACAAGGTGCAAGGCAGTAGGCTAAGGGAAACATATTACCTTTTATTTAATACTTAAAAATAATAAATAAATCAACTTTTATCTTGAAATATATTTTACAATTTTAAATCATGATTAAAAATGTACAAAAAACTTAAGAACTATATCTAAAAATCAAATTAAATGACACTGATTAAATGACAGATGACACTGTACTTTTTATAATGCCTTAAAGGTGAAAACGAGTCAATAACACATCTCTTTGAATAAATGAACAATGACCAATGATGCAATCTGTGGTTTCATGAAAGAAATTGATCATCACTCATGAAAATGGTTTATCAGGAACGTACGGAATGCATATACATCATAACGTGTCCGTAACTGCGGTGGAGGGACAGAACGTCAGCCTGCCATGTTTTGTGGGAGAGGAACATGAAATCAAAATTATCCAGGTGGAATGGCTAAAACAGAAGAATGATAAGAATGATAAGAAGATTGTGGTGTTCCATCCGTCAATGCCAGAATTTTACTTTCAAACCGGTCCTCTTCTGACGAAGATCACCAGTTCAAAAACTGGAAAGCTACAGGGCTCTGTCCTGATCCTGTATGAAGTTGCCATGAAAGACAGTGGAAACTATACTTGCGAAATTACTGTTTATCCTATTGGCTCGATTAAAAGAACTACAAAGCTGCAGGTCACAGGTAAACTGCTCACGGTAACCTACATTCTCATATTCTCAAAAAATGTAAAAGTGAACAAGCGCTGTCTGCTAATTTCAGAGCGTCCTGCATCAGTGAAGATGTCGCATCCATACAGATTCATAAAAGAGGGAGATGAAGTGAAAATAAGTTGTTCAGCAAGCCCCCCACCACTCAGTTATGAACTTAGGCGGTCAAAGGTGAGTCAGATGGAAACATAAACATTTCTAAATGCCATAATACAGCTGTTGTGTTGATCTCACTCTCCTCAACAGGACAAACTATTTTGGATGCTAAGCTTGAATGGAGAGTTCATTTTACCAAAAGTCACCAGAAACAACAGCGATCTGTACATCTGTTCCCCTGAATGGTCATCTGTCCAAAATCAGCAAGGTCTCAATACCACTATAGAACTGACTGTCAATTGTGAGTGTTGAGAATACAAAAAAGTTTTTGAATTAATATTTATCATTCTCTGTTTAGATTAAAGCTTAAATAAGTAAGCAAAATCCATATAAAATATATCATATTCTTCCAAACAGTTCTTGATGACATTGAGTGTAACACAAGCAGCCCTTTTAATGTTGGTTTTGGTGAAGATGTGACGATTTCTTGTATTGCAAAAGCATCTCAGTACTTACAATATAAGTGGATGAGGGTAAGACTGTGAGATATTAAGAGATTGAAATAATGTAAGCAGTATTGCTTGAAATTAATCTTTTGTAGTGTATTAACTCGCTTAAAATGACAAATTTATGATTTTTAGGATGACACAACACTGTCTCTCTCAGACACTTTGTCTCTGACTTCCGTAACATCTAGCCAGTCAGGAACATACAAACTGACAGCTGTCTTTCAGGACAATCAGCTCCAGACAGACATAGAGTTTTATATCAATGTTCTCTCAAAGCAAGTCGAAGGTAAGATAAAGCTTTATTTTGCTTTTTTTTTTTGTAATTGCAATCATATTGAGCTTCCATTTTAAACTGCGATATATGAAAATATAAAGGCCCAGTTTGCCCAAAGCGGATACACACTAGAGTGCAAACAATGGAAAAAATTAACGCCACCACTGAAGTCCATGAATTACATTTTGGTACAGAGGTTCATTGATCAATTTCCCTCTGTCGAAGCTCTCTAGAAGTTGTTTTAGGAAAGGCTGTTTCTGTTTGTGTGTGGTGGGGGTCAGGATTGGCTCACATTGTGGAATTAAATGTCTCCACAAGGATATTAAAACCTGAAATCATCTACATTTTAAGCAGCTGATTGTCACCATAAGGAAAACATAAATAAACTAAATAATCTAATGTAAAACATAAGATCATCATCACTCATTTGGTCACCATGCAAGTATAACTTCCTCTGTCATGTCAGACTAATTGTGACTAATTGTGTAAATAAAATCATTGTGCAAACAAACTTTATAATATAATATAATATATTATACAATTCATTTTCAAAACCACTTAAAGGGTTAGTTCACCCAATATTGAAAATGATCACATAACTTAATCACCATCAAGTCATGTGTACAGTATTTGACTTCTTCTTATATCCAAACTCAATCAGAGTAATACAAAAACATATCCTGGCTCTTCCTAGCTTTATAATGTGAGTGAATGGTACTTTGTTTTTTTGAAGCCCAAAAAAAGAGCATCCATCATGAAAGTAATCCAGTTGGCTCCAGGTGCTTAATAAACGCCTTCTGAAATGAAGCAATCTGTTTTTTTTTTTTAAGAAAAATATCCGTAATTATAACTTTATAAACTATAATGACTGGCTTTCAGTAACAGCCATATGCGAGTCGAGTTCCAGACGAAGAGTGAGCTCTGACGTGACGCATGACGTATCGATGAACGCGGAAGTGCAGAGGATAAAACAACACAGTGGGTCATGATATTAGTTTTTATAGTTGAAATTATGGATATTATCTCACAAACATGCATTGCTTTGCTTCAGAAGACCTTTATTATTATAATTTCTTTTTTTTATCATTTAAAAAAAACAGGTAACATTCACTCCCATTATAAAGCTTGAAAGACCTAGGATATATTTTTAAAATAACTCCAATTGTGTCTGGCTGAAAGAGAGAAAAAAAGTCATATATTCCTAGGATGGCTTGAGGGTCAGTTGTGGGCTAATTTTCATTTTTGTGTAAATTATCCCTTTAACCTATGTAGGGTGGCAGGAATGCTGGATCTCAGCGTCCCCTACTTAGCTAGGGAAAGACCCTGGAAGGATGGCCAGTTCATCACAGATATTGTTATAAATTATTATAATATAGTATATGATATGATATATTAGAACTGTGTACAAACAAACGTTGCCAAATATTTCCTAATATACATTCATTATGTTTAATTTTCCCTAACATCTACAGGCAGGTTTTGTATAAAAAATCCAAGCATAGGTCCAGAAACAGTTTCTTCTGTTATAACGAAGAAAACCATCACCACCACTGTGACAACATCGGGAGGTAAATTACTTTTCTGAAAGTCAACATGAAATCAAATCTGACCATATACTTTTTAATACTTACACACTGGAATGTTATTCCAAAGATTATTATTTTATTTAAAAAATTTTTTATCTTTTATCAAAATGTAAAAACTTGTGCTGTCCGTAAAACGACTAAAAATTTAAAAGCGCAACACACAAAAACACACAAAGCGCTAAAAATTTCACAGGGATTAAGATTTCTGTACAACACAAAATTCAGATTTGGATTATTACCCCTAAATCACCAATATAGGTAGATTTATATCTAGGTAGGTTAGGATTAGGCAATCAGGTAGCACCTTCAATGAAATAAGTCAATTAGTCAAAATTAGGCACAACAACGGTAACACATCCAGAAATCATCCTATAGATTACATTTTAATTTAAAAAATAATCATCATTTATTTAATCATTATTTTCACTTGGAAATACATCACATTACCGATGTCACATTATGCTACAAAAGTTAAAATTAAAATCAAGTCATCGGTCATGTATTAGGCTATAACTGGAATATTCTGTGGTTTAAATTCTAAATTCAAAACTATGAATTAAACTTACATAACTCATATCAAGGAAGAAAAATTGGTCACAAATGTTTTATGTTGATTTTAAACAAATTTAATACAATTTTTTACAAAAATTTAATGAAGTCATCTGATGTTTTTGTCTGTAACAGGAAAACCCATATAAGATGCTGTTTGATTTAAAGAGGTCATGAACTGGCATTTTAAATTTTATTATATTGTTGTCTGAGGTCAACTTAAGACGTTCGCTTGGTTTTTGCATTCAAAAACATCAAAATGAATGAGTAATAGGCTATTTTGTACCCAAGTTGTGAGCATAGCTGAAAAACGGTCGGTTTTTATGGGCGTGTCGCATTGAAGACTTGGAAATAAACGCCCACTGCTGTGAGTGGAGAACAGTTTTGCATATTATAATGAGTTTTACGCACCCGTCGGTGTACGTGGGGGAAAACGTCCAATGTTGTAAAATGGCAACAGGATTCGCCCATACATGTTCGACCCAGAGTCCGTGTGTTGCACAATTCCTGTCAGATCTAATATAGACGGCACAGCACGTTCTTTACTCTTAATCGGTCTGCAAACCCAGTCGTTTACAAAACAATCCTCAGTGAAATGAAGCGAACAGACGACGATGTTTTACCCTCATCAGCTGGAACGTCATTAAAAATAAAGTATATCCATGCAGTCCTATTGGAATCCAGAGGAAGCTTATGCAGCGACTGTCTTCTTCCACAACCAGGCACTGGACAATATTCTGTATCGCTCGGTAGCTCGATCCGGTTTGTCATCACGAGGAAGGCATCTATGTTATTTAGATGGGCTAAACTGGCCGTGTTGAAGCAGGCTTTGATCTTCTTCTGTGGGGGTGGTGTTTTATCCTCTTTGTCGTCATAGTTCCCCACTTTGAAAAACGAGTCGTTTGCTGGGGCTGGTGTCAATAAAAGCTTTTATTGGACTAACAAGGACGTTTTAAGTTCTGAAACTTACAGGATATTCTTATAATATGATGACCTCTTAGATGTCAAAAGCTCTAGGAGAATTTGATTTCTCAGTTCATCACCCCTTTAAAGTGTGTGATTGATATCAATGTGTTGTTTTGAAAAAGATGTGCATATGACAGAATCAACAACCAATAATAGTTCAAATTCAAATCCTGTCTTTTCCTTGCATATCCGTCTCTCTTTCAGAATCAAAAGGCAAAGCTTATATCTCTGTTCCGTTTGTGTTGCTGTTGCTCGTGCTGACTGTGCCTCTATACTAAAGACACCTAAACCAAAAAAAGTGAGATTCACCAAAATCATCTGCACATCCACTGTCCTTTTACATAATTGCATCCTATTTTCAGTCTATTTATCTACATTTCACCTTTTCTTTTTCAGAGTGGATATACCTTTCAAAACTTCTCACCAAATACACATCAGTGAGGAACCATGATGTCCCCATACAGATATTCTTGTATGAATGTTTCTTTGCAATTTTGTACTCACAAACCGTGGGCCACATATATACTGGATATATGCTGAAAATCTTCACCCAAAATGAAAATTGTCATCAATTACTCATTCTCATGTTATTCCGAACACATAAGTGTTCATCTTCAAAACACAAATTAAGCTATTTTTAATTATGCCTGAGAAATTAACTTTCTTTCATTGAAAGCCCATGCAACCAAAATGTATGTAATCCATGGATTACTAAAATGTAATCCATATTAATTCAGCAGTTTAATTCAAGTCTTCCATAGAAAAACAGTTGCTTTGAATTATGAATCGATTCAGTTTATGCTTTTGTTTATATATAAACATTAAGAAACACACATACACATTAAATAAGTTAAAAAATGTTTTTCGAAGATGAACGAACAATGGAACTCGTTCAATATTAATTTGATTTAATTTAATTTCAAAAAAGTCACATTTGTTGTTTTTATGTGATTTCCTCTGTATTTGTGTTTTTCTTAATAGTTTGAACATATAATTTGTAGCTCCAAAAACTTAAAAAAAATCTTTTTTGTAACTTTTAAAAATGTGAATATTGTGATTGAATTTTTACTGTGCTTTACAAACATTAAACATATTATTGAATATCTTGAGTTCCCTTTCGTATTCATTACGAGTTATGTTGTGACGACGAATGGGGTTCGCTTATAAGCCTCTCATCTTCGAAAGAAATAAAACAAGCCAATGGCAAGGAATTGCCATGGGTCTGCAGAATTTGCATGGCGTAACTCGCCTCACCGCATAGATATAAAAGGAGAATGCTGGCAATATGGAGATATGTTTTTCACTTCGGAGCCAAGAAGTTCTCTTCACTCCTGGAGCCTATTCTCTGACTATCTTGCCAGGATGGGATGAAAAAGCCATTTTGAAAAAAAGAAAGGCATTGGAGGAGGATGCTCTCAAATGTGCCAAGCTTACAGATTTATTTTCAAGAGGACAAACACAACACTAGTGGCAGCAACAGGTAAAGAGAGATAGGCCTAGTAATGATTAGCACAACGTACTTAATTATTCGGCAAATATCATTGTAGCATTGTCAACCTATTCACAAACAAAATATTAAATGTAATTAAGGCGAGATACGGCAGGCAAAAACATCGATTTTTTTACTGGTCAATTTTTAGATTTTGGGATATTTGTGGAGAAAAAAGTCTGCAATACACATTTAGGACTTTATACTACTACATGTTTGCGCCTGTAGATTTCTCATAAATTCATCAAAAGTTGGATGTCCAAGTCATCCCACTGCTCCGCGATCGCAATCTGCACCGTCATCACATACACCATTAGAAAGCCCTCTCTCTCTCTCGTAATGCTGTCGGATCCAAATATGGTCATTTTCTTTTTGTCAGCAACCAATCGTAAAAGTAAAGGTAACTCTAAATGCGCAATCTCATTGGCTGCTGCTAAATCTTTAAAGCCCATTTTCTCAAAATGACTTTTCTCTCATAATCCAAGTCTGAAATCTCCACTTGAGCATCTATATACACAAAACCTTCCAGTTTTGCACCTAGATATATTATTTAGACATTTATAGAGGGATTACATTATTCATAGCCTGATGTAGCAAATGCAACATTTATTAATATACATAAAATGTATTTGAAGGTGTTTCAAGGCCAAAAAATTGGGTAACATTCCAAAGTATGTTAGTCGACAGCAGTAGCATAAATGACTTGTCAAGGAGATAACAGATTGTTAAACATGAAAATAAGCAATGTGGCAAAGAATGATCCACATTACAAACTGTGATTGTCAACATTCAAAACTATTTTAACATTAACTCTTCAAAAAAAAAGTTTTTGCATAGTAACTCTGCACACAAACATAAAATGATTAGCCCACTTACACACGAAACTATATATCAGGCATGTGATTGGCTAAGGACAAAAAAGCCGGAAAATATACCAAGCCGCATCCAATCACCCCCCCTCCCCCCTGCCGCCGCCTCCTCCCTCCTCATCACTCCAGCAGCCGACCCAGGCGACACCCGCCCCCCTCGCCCTTTTATTTTATTTTTTTACAGATCTGCATGATTCACGAAGGTCACATTTTCAGGTCGGAAAATCCGGAATTCCGGATTAATCCGGAAAAATCACATCCCTGATATATACATTAAGTAAAACTAAACTTTATTATTTGTATAATTTACAAACTTTTGTTTCGTCATGTTTTCAGAGCCTACCTTAATAGCGTGCGAACACCGGATGTGCTGACTGTGCTCAGATGTGTGCGCACACAGTCACAGACGCGTGCAGACAAGGATTTCTGTCACGTGGGTTAGCTTCTGTTTTCTGTTAAACTGTGTTGCTTTTACAAGCGTTGATTCAATTGTTTTATTAATGCGTTGCAAATAGATCATTAATATATTACCCTATAATGTAATTTATTTTAAATAGACTGAAATATAAAATAAATTGTTAAACTCAAACTTTTACACAGATTTACTGGGGCACAGCAGATTAGTTGGGCATGTTACCAAAATAAAGTATACTTCAAGTTTATTTAACCAAGTAAACTTAAGTAACGTTCAAGTATATTTCCCAAGTATACTTTACATACCAAGTATACTAAGATCATAGTACTAGTAGCATACTTGTAAGTGTACTAATTTAATACTTCTTGGGACTAAATTGGCCCACTTTTAGTATATAAAAGTATACTTTTAAGTATACTTAAAGTGTAAGAGTGGTAAACTTTGAGTTCACAACTAGTTTACTTCAAAGTTTTATTTTGTACTGCAGTTATACTACAAGTGAACTTATAGATACTTCTAGTTTACTAGTTATATACTTCTAGCCAGGATTTTTAGTTTATGAAAGTACACTTTTAAGTATACTACTCAGTAAACTACTAGTTTAATAGTTTTTATACTATAAGTGTACTTGTAAGTTTTCTTTCAGTGAACTTAACATCATTGTAACGGCGCGGGTGCAGGCTGAAGAAACAAGGAGTCCGGGTTATCGGTAAAGATGAGTTTTTAAAATCAAACAGGCAGGAAGACAGGAACACAGGCGCCACACGGGCTAACAACAAACATCGACCGACAAAGACTGAATGGGACAGAGGGAACTAAATACATGGAAGAATCAAACATAATGAGGTGCAAACAGGTGAAACAGATGAAACAGGACGCTGACCGGGAGGCTGATGAGGGAGTGAGTTCAGGTGTGCAGACGAGAGGATCATGGGAAGTGTAGTGCTGAAGACAAGACAGACTGGTGCAGACGAGGACTGTGACAATCATACTTATAGTTTACTATTGATATATTATTACGAGAGTTCAGCTAAGATTGTGAGTTTTTTTGGCGCCCGCTGTCACCTATATTGAGGTCACCACCATTGGCTATTTGCAAGCAAAAGAGTTATTCAATCAGACTTCATAATTCGAGGAAAACGGATTTTCCCCCATACGTAGTTTCGTTCCCTCCTCTCAGGGAACTACAGTTGTGCGAGTAACCAGAGACGTTTTTCAGGCTCAGTTGTTTAAAGCTCAGATCTGTGGCTTATTTATAAAGATAGCACCCTTTTAAAAATTTGATCTGACGTTTTTAGAGTTGTGAGATCCAGTCTTTTAGCGGGCTCTCAGCCCTCATGTACCCCGCCTGGAAAAGCCTTACCTCGGCTAGTGCTTCTGATGTTTGCCGCTGGCTCTGATAGTCTCTAATCTAGTGGTTAAACATGAGATATAATCAGTCTTGTATTCGTATTTCTAAGGGGACGATCTTAGGTCTCAATTAATCTATCATTTGTTCCCTGGGAAACCGTTTTGGCTGAGGGTAAAGTTTCATAACTTTATATTTTGGCTATTTTAACGTATCCTACTGTATGTTTGTCTGAATCTTTACTTTATTTATTGTCTTGTATAACAACTTGTACCTTTTAGGCTACTTATACTGTTATAATGTCTATTACTGATCAATAAAACTGAAAACTTAATAGACAAGCTTTGACAGTAGTTTGGAAAGTGTCTGTCAAATGTCAGCTTGTCCTGTTGCGCCATCTGCTCCTTTGTCAAAGTACTTTCCCAGACAGCAAACTGACATTGAATCAACGTGGGAACGACGTCTCTCATGACATTGAAACAACGTTGATTTTGCTCATCGAATTAACGTTGAACCAACGTCAGACGCGGCATTCTTCAAAGCTAAATGAAAATCGAAAATTGGTTTGCTTTCATAACGTTGAAACAACGCGTTGATTTCAAGTTGATTTTCTGTTAGTTTTGAAAGAATGACGCGTCTGACGTTGGTTCAACGTTAATTCGATGAGCAAAACAATGTCAGATCAACGTTGTTTCGATGTCATATTTCCACGTTGATTCAATGTCAGTTTGCTATCTGGGAACCTTGATCTGGCATTGTTTTGCTCATCGAATTAACGTTGAACCAACGTCAGAGGTGGCATTCTTCAAAGCTAAATGAAAATTGGTAATTGGTTTGCTTTCCTAACGTTGAAACAACGTTGATTTCAAGTTGATTTTCCGTTATTTTTGAAGAATGACGCGTCTGACGTTGGTTCAACATTAATTCGATGAGCAAAACAATGCCAGATCAACGTTGTTTCGATGTCATTCTTCCACATTGATTCAATGTCAGTTTGCTATCTGGGTTGTACTTTTAGAAATGTAGACAAATTGAATACTTTAACTTTTACTTGAGTAGAATAAAAATAAAGTACCAAAATTTAGTTATACTCAAAAATGTAGAAAAAAATAGTAAAATCTACTGTAACGAACGTATTTGTAATTCGTGACTTTCCACCTCGTTTACTAATGGGTAGCAAGGTGGAATGTAACACTTTTGTACGGACTATTGCAGGATTGTGGACTCGAGTCCAAGTCAAGTCCGAGTCCACAATCTTGCAATAGTCCGTACTGGACTTGGACTCGAATCCCAAATTTGATGACTTGCGACTCGACTTGACATATTCAAAGATGACTTGCGACTCGACTTAAGGCTGATTTATACTTCTGCGTCGAGGGTACGCCGTAGTGTACGGCGTTGGCTACGCACGTAGGCGACGCCGTTGTGCGCATTTATACTTCTGCGTTCAGGTATTGGTGGTTGCTCTGCAGTACTGCTCCGAAACGCTAGGAGGCGGCGGAGGGTTTTAATGTTCCACTGTGTTTAGATTCCTCGCGGCTAGGTTACTACAAGCAATAGCGACTGAAAGAGAGTGGATCATGTTGGAGTTGGAGCTTATTGGGGTGGAAAAACAGTTCATTTTAGTGAAATTACTAAAACTAAAAGGCAGAAATGAGAGAAGACGTCGGAGGAGATGGTACGTGCGGAAATGCGTATGAGGAAATACGATGCTACCAAGCCGACCAATCACCGATCTTGCGGTCCGCGTCGTCGCGACGTGTAGTTACATTTTTGAAGAGGTGCGCGTCAGGCAACGCGGAAGGGTACGCGGTATGGGACGCGTCTGTGCGTATGCTACGCCGTACCTACTGCGCGCACCCTACGCAGAAGTATAAATTGGCCTTTAGACAACAATGACTCGCGACTTGACTCGGACTTGAGCCCTGTGACTTGGAAAGACTTGACCTACCTTCTAAAACCACAGATCAGAGTTGTAATAATCACTG